TGAGTGATGCACAATGCAATTGCTCACCACCCGCGCTGACCGATAACCAGGTAGCGATCGGTACTTCCTGGATCACGCCTACCATTCATATACTGAGCATGACATCACATGGTATGGAATACCCCATTGGCCAGCTGGGCTGGCTGTCTTGATTATGTTCCCTCCCATCTCGTGTACCTAGCTCAGTCAGTAGGCATGGGAGCTGTCCTTGGACTAGCAGGGTACTTAGCAACAACTGAAAACATCAGTGTGTTATCAATATTATTCTCATACTAAATCCAAAACACAGCACTAGCAAGAAATTTAACCCTCTCCCAGCCGAAACCAGGACAGGTGGGCAAAAGCCTGGGAGGAGACAGCCAGGACAGCTGACCCTGACTGACCAAAGGGGTATTCCATACCATACGACACCATCCTCAGCAATAAAAACTGGGGTTTTGGTCTTTCCAAGGCCGCCGTTGCTCGGAGACTGTCTGGGCATCAATCTGCTGGGGGGATGTTGTGAGTGATGCCTTTTGTGTCGCTTCTTTTTTTTCTCTTTTTATTCCCTTCACTTCTTAAACTGCCTTTATCTTGACCAATGAGTTTTTCATGTGTTTGCTTTTCTGATTCTCTCCCTCATCCTGCTGGGGGGATGGCTGGGTTGAGCGAGTGGCCGGTGGGCGCTTAGTTGCTGGCCAGGTCAGCCCAGCAGAGGAAGGCAATCCCTTCTGCCCCATCTTCCATCTTCTGTCACATTACTACAACCATCTAAAGCCATGTATATTTTCAACCATTCTTTCCCCAAAATTGTTCTGTAAAAAAGTCCTAAATACAGAAGTTGGTATTTCATAATGAACTTCTCTAAAGAGCAGGGATCTAAAGATGTGAGTGTAATTGTGGAATTATGTTCATTTCCATGGCAATAGACTATAGTGTCACAAATACAAGATTGTAATGAACTGCAGGTGCAAAGCAAAAAGGGACTGTGAAGAAGAAATCTCTTATACAATTGCAGATATTTGAAATAACACCAGCAAGAAAGAGAATGTATTTATACAAGAAAAAAAAGGCATGCTGCTGTTTTAGGTTTTCCCTGAACATTTTCTGGAATGTTTTCTAATTTGTTCCAGGGGAAAAAAAAAATCTAACTATTAGAGGTTTTAGATATAAGGAAGCCTGTTGACTCAGGCTATGCTTCAAAGATACAGAAGACTTGATACAGAGGAAGAACATTGCCTAGTACTGACAATATGTCCACCACTGCCCTGATGGAATAGACTATGTTGTGGCATGTCTAAGAGGAGAAAAGTGGGGATGGCTCATCCCAGAACTGTTGCCTCCCTCCTCCTCCAAGCAGTTAATTACTGTCACATCTGGTCCCAATCAAAGGCTAGTAATAAGCTCCATACAATCATATTAGTCTGTTCAGATAGCTGTGCCATGTCTGGTTTTAATGTATGTACTAATACAGAATGTGAGGTCCAGTGAAAGACGCTTCCCCTGAAAGGTGGCCAGGTAGCCAGGGCCACCCAAGTCAGAGGCAAAACTTGTATTAAGCAAAGAGATGTTGTTAAATGCAGGAGGTGATTCCTCGTGTAAAATAGATATTTACCTACCTATTGACGGGAATCCATTTTTAATCTGAGAGGCCTGCTAGTCTGCTTCAGAGCTTCCAAGTGAAAGATTTAACTGGTGTAGGAGCCTTGATAGAGTTATTGGATATAAGAGTTCAGATACTTCACCGGAAGGAAGAGGCATACACAAAAACTGAAACCCTGATGCCCAGCTTGGAACAATAAAACCAGCAAGCCAGCTGAATGTAACTTTAGGTAGACACTTGCACTGCAGGAGAGGGAGACCACCATGGTTCTAGAGACTGGAAGCTATTATACATTCAGAGAATAGGGTTTAACAAGAATAACTCGCAGGAATTTAAAGTAAAGGCAAACAGGCAGAAATGTGGGCTGTTCTTTTATCCTGGAAGAAAAAATAATTCAAAGTAGTTCACTTCAGGCTCTCACTATCTAAAAGACCTGACTACTGCATAAAAAAAATTTCAAAACAATTTTTTTGCACAAGGTATACTCCCTCCGTGCACATCATTTGGTGAACTTGAGACTGCACATGCTATACACCTTAATAATAATAATTATTATATACAATGTTTTTTTCACTAACTAGATTTCAAGGGCAATTTATATGCAATGAATAAAAGGCTGTAACTTCTTCTGAATAGGAACCAAAAGTGGTGTTTCATTACATCACATAAGAAGATGTATATTCCATTTGGTGCCTTTTATGCCTTCCTAACGTGAGTGAAAATTGACATTAGATCATTCCAACTGGTACATTATATGGAGTGAAAATAAGACAATTTGTGAAAAAAGAAAAATATACGGAGTTTTTTGGCACTGAATGGCTTTTTAA